CCAAGCACTGAGCAGGGTCACTTCTCACAGCTCTGCTAGCCGTGTAGCAGCGGGAGCGGCAGAGGCAGAGCAGGCAGCATATGGCACCAAAACCCACCCAGTCTGACAGCACCACGGTCTGGGAACAAAAAGAGAAAATCTTTTCTCTCTCCCTCTCTCTCTCTTTTCAAATTAAGCCCTCGCAGGACTCTGCTCGGCCACGAGGCTCAGATATGAGGATTACCACGGGCGCACAGGCCTGCAATGCATCCGTAATAAGACAAAGTGGTGGCGTTCACACCCATAGTTTTGGCGGATAAAGGGATCGCGAGGCCAAATATCCAGTGGCACACGTGTGCGCCGAATACGAGGCCTGGTGCCGAGAACACGTGTGCGACCCCACAAGAAAAACTGAGGCTGTGGAGCTTAGAGAGGGAAAGAGGGAGAGAGAGAGAGAGAGTGGGGAGGAGGGGTGGAGGTTGTTTGAAGCAGAAAATAATTAAAAATAAATAAATAAATCTCGAGATTATGCAACGTTTCACATGATGAACATGAGGGAATTAGTGCGCGTGCAGGAGGCAGGGGTCAGTGCACGAGGAGCAGAGGGAAATGAAATGAAAAAGAAGATGAACATGTAGAATTGAATTTTGTTTTTTTTGCAAATGTTTTTTTTTTTTTAACTTATTTATTTATTGAATAGAACACACACACACACACACACACACACACACACACACACACACACACACACACACACACACACACACACACACACACAAGTACAAGTAGAGAGACAAAGTTGTGTGTGCCATTGCAGTGTATTGTAAGTAATAAGTCATAATTCTGCAGCCGGACTCCTTCATGTTGAGTCCTCGACTTCAGCACAATGAGAGCTGTGATGAACGAGCTGCTGCTGAAGCGTCACACGAACCACAGCTGAAGCTCGCGCCTTTTCACGCCCATCAAAACTGTCTCTTTTTTTTTTTTCTTTTTAAACATTTTTTTTCCTTGTTGGAGGAAAATGCAGTTTGCTGATTGTCCTTGCTCTTTGAACGGAGCCTGTCGTGTGTAAAATGGGTAATTTTGGCTCCTCCGTGCTGTGTGGTCCATTTGAAGAATAAAATGATCGTCTCTTTTTTCCAGGGATCCCTGGAGAGACATTCAGCGGCCTCACAACACGTGGCTTTACTGTAGGTAATATGGGCTACCAGCTCTCACTGTCACACACATCCACACACAGGCTTCCGTAGTCAGGTTGGATATTTTTGGGAAGTTATGTTTTTTTTTTTAAAGAAATAATAATGACATATAATGGCGGTCAGAGGTGCAGAGTTCATCAGTTACAGTAAAGTTATATATTTATAATTATAGTTTTAAGGTGGAATAGTGTTAACACCTTAAATAAGATGCTTAGAGTTTAAATTTAAACAGAATATGATGAAAACAGAATGTCAGGACACAAAGATGCTTTTATTTTCAGAAATTCACACAATGATCATCAGCTGTAGTTTGATCACGTGCAGGACGTGTGGAAAAATTAATTTATTGATCCTGTACAAACTGTAATTTTCAGTTAATCTGCTGCACACACACGGTGGAGTTTCGTTCTGATTGTGTGTGTGTGTGTGTGTGTGTGTGTGTGTGTGTGTGTGTGTGTGTGTGTGTGTGTGTGTGTGTGTGTGTGTGTGTGTGTGTGTGTGTATATATATGTGTATATGTGTGTATGTGTGTATGTGAGTGTGTGTGTGTATGTGAGTGTGTGTGTGTGCGCGCGCGCCAACAGGCCCGCACCGTCACCTCACTGTGGCTCTTCCACTCAGGTGTTTCCTAGAAATGCACCTTTAAATGCAGCTTTAAAACACGTGCGTAATACTCCCTTTTTTTTGTCGTGCGTAAAACTCGTGCGTAATTGCCCTTTGTTGCCTCAACATGAGAATCCAACCTGTGCCATAAAATGGCGTAAAATGAAACGTTTCACCCTGATTTCACCACGTGGTTTTAATCAGATGAGAACCAATGAGATTTCACAATTGGAATCAATTTCTTGCTAATCAGCTCTGGACCTTTGCATGAATTATTATTTCCAATTAGAAGCGCCGGATTTGTTGACGTCACGCACGTCCTGGCCAATGGCGCGGCCTGATGAGGTTTGTTTAAATGGAGGAGAGAAAGAACTTGGACCTTAAATGTCTTTCTTTTTCTTTTTTTTTGAATCTGAGATGAGGTGAGTGAGGGAGGAGAGGCCGCTGTGGGTGCAGCACTGTGAGGTTTATGTGAAGCACTTTAACATCCCCACCTGCTTCATTTTCTCAACCCACTGCGTTCACAATTTCCCGGGTGAAATGCATCGTGAAAGACGAACATTGTGGGGATAAAAAAAAAAAAGAAAAAAGAAAAAACCCGGAAGACAAATATTGAAATTGTATCACTTTATTAGAATTATATAACAGCAGCACAGTGGCGAATAAGCCAGTGTTAATGAAAGGACTATTAATGATAATGGGGAAATAAGTGCAATCTGCATGTAATTATCTTTCTCTTTATCCAGCTTGGAAATCGTGAAATTATATCTGATATAAAAAACGAGTCATAAAGCTCACAGCTCAGGCTGCAGCGATTAAAAGTGTTAATGTCACTGTTGCATCATTATAATACAGAAATAATATTCTGATGAATTACTGATGAGTTTAAACACCAAACTCAAGCTCTGCATTCACAGCAAACTCAATGATATGTCTGTTTTTAAACAGGAAATAGTAAAGTAAAAGATTTTTTTATGACTGAAAAAAATAAAATCTTAATTTTTAAAATGTTGTAGTTTATTATTATTATTATTAATAATAATAAAATACTATAAAAATAATATATTACACAAAAAATAATACTAAAATCTGACTATAATGTATTCAGGGGGATTTTTAATAGTAGAATATGTGAAAATGTGAATCTGTCTTTTGCAAAAATATATATATAAATAATCTTTATTAGTCCTTCTGACTGAGCTGTTTATAAAGTAAACATGATCATTTATATGTATTGATATTTATAATGATATTTATATGTGAGACTGCAGCTGTGAGTCTGTGTGTGTGTGTGTGTGTGTGTGTGTGTGTGTGTGTGTGATTGGATGTGTCTGTAATTATGCATCTAAACATGTGAAAGTTCACACACTGCAAGGTGTGTGTGAGTGTGTGTGTGTGTGTGTGTGTGTGTGTGTGTGTGTGTGTGTGTGAGAGAGAGAGAGAGAGAGATCCAGTGCAGCAGCATTCTGGGAGCTGTTTCTCCTCTTAAAGGGCCTCGCTTTGTCCTTGTGGATTGAAACAAAGCTCCTTGACGAAGATGTGTGTCTGTGTCTGTGGTGACAACACAACACCTTCTGGAGAACGTACACACATTCAGACAGTAGAAGAAGAAGAAGGAGGAGAGGACCAGCTGTTTGCTACAACCTGGAGGGAGAACAATGCCAGGGAGAGGGGGGGTGGGGGTGGGTGGGATTGGTTGTTTGCTAACAGGGATGTAGCCGTCTCTGCTAACGCCTGCGTGCTGCCAGTCGAGTCGTGTAGGTAGCGTTCAGGTTTGGGTGTGTGTGCGCGATGGAGGGCGAGAATATTCTGTGTTGTGTGCTTCCTCTGTCACTCTCTCTCTCTCTCTCTCTCTCACTCTCTCTCTCCTGGTATCTCTCCATCTCCCTCTGCTTTCAGTCAGCAGAGCTTTACTTGGCAGTGGCGTTGGTGGGGGGAGGAGCCTGCCACAACAGGGATCTGGGCACACAGAGCAGCTTTAATTAGATGGGGCCTCGTGCCTTGTGCCACCACGGCGTGTGTGAGAGATAGAGAGAGAGAGCGTGTGTGTGTGTGTGTGTGTGTGTGTGTGTGTGTATGTGCGCTACAGTGTTGTCTATACCTGCACAAGTGAGGGTGTGTTTTCCGTGCATGTAGCTTGATATCTGCGTGTTTTTGTGGACATTTTTTTAGGCGGGAAAAGGACACGTCTACTTCCTGTGCCTCATGCTTTGATAAGTCTGATGTATGTGTTACATCACTGTGAGGACATCTTTATTTTCACGTGTGTGTGTGTGTGTGTGTGTGTACGTACATTTGAAACCCTCCTCTCTATCTTCGCTTTGACGCCAACCTGAGCTCCGGCATCAGATGATGTAAACGAAGACAAACCGGTTTTTACTTTTGTAGTCAAACGGCCAGGATCTCCTTTTAATTTAAAAATGCATTTGGGCCGTGGCGGGGGGCCGGCGTTTGAAGCCATCACCCTCCTATGGAGCCAGTCAGCGGGTGAGGCGGGTGCGCCATAGGGATGGGCGCCGGGCCGGAGAAGGGAAGGTTGGTGCCGTAGCCGGTTTGGACCGGTTCATCAACTTATTGCTGCCTCTCGCTGATTGCTTGACTTTGGGGAGGTTTTTTTTTTTTCATATGGAGGCATTACTCGCAGGCCAATCAACGCTTCCGTTGCACAAAGGGAGGTTTCCTATTGGCTGAGGCGGTTTTGAGGCGGGGTGATGGGGCCACTTGGTGACATCACAAAATTAAGGGTCAGGACATTTAAAGGCCGCTGTAAGTTGAGTGAGGGGGGAAGGAAAAAAAAAAAAGGCCCCAAGCCAGAAGAGTAACGTCTTTGTCCGGAGTTGGTGTTAACTGCCGTTTTGATTTCTTTTCTTCTTTCTTTTTTATCCAGACTTTGCTCCTTTTTTGAAGTTAGTGTTTAATCCTTCAAATCGTGTCAAATCAAAGAGACGGAGATGAATGATCATGTTTTATTAACGACTTTCTCCTCTGCTTTATAGGTCAGAACTCGGCCCACGCTGCTTCTTCGCCTGCGGCTTGAGAGGATGGGTAGCCTTAGGGGTTGGTTGTTATCTTTGGTTATCTAGCTGTATGAGTGATGTACATTCTTCATAAAGCTAGATAACCGAAAGTAACAAGAATCCCATTACACTCCTGAAAAGGCATCAAGACCCCATACGCGCCTCCCTCCAAAAAAAAAAAAAAAAAAAAACAGAAAAAAAAAAAGAAACGCAAAAACTCTCAAAGAAGAGCAACACGTGAAGAAAATGGACGCCACCTGAAGGGACGTGGGAGCGGCGTGCAGCAGGAAGGTAGGCTGCATGATTTTTCGTGTGTGTTTACTGATGATCTGTGTGTGTCGTGGTGCATCAGCATTTAGGAACGCAGAACACTGTTGGTAACAGTCATGTTGAAATAAGTGGGACATTATAGCTCCCTGCAGCCAGCGCTAGTGATCCAGAGCAGTACGGTTGGTGCAACAGGATCACTTTTAATCTAATAAGCCCCATGATCCTTGTGTGGTGGGGCTGCATGCAGGGGCTTAGCCTCGGTATCACATGGCCGGGAGTGACAGGGGGGGTGAGGGGGGGTGGGTGGGTGAAAAAGACCCACACACTGATTCACCAAAGCCGCTGGACTTTGACAAGTCGTTTAACAAGTCGGTGTTGGCTAATCAGTTTGCTAGCCGGTTTAGTCGACGCCCTATTAACTTGGGCTCCATGAATTTCAGAGCTTGCATCTCTGGCATGAAGAGGACATGAAATATGAAAAGAATGCGGGCCTTTTCTGTCGTATCGAGCTGCATACGGTGCCATGAATTATACATATGTTTCCGACTTGGATGGGATTGTGTGAGTTAAGAATGCTCCCTCCGAGTTAATCCGGGGCTCCCAGTGCACCCGCCGGCACCTAAAGCGAACAGACAAGAATTTGTTTGAGGCCAGTTTGTTAAGTTAGCCGTTCTCCTTTCCCACCTACTCCCTTTCTCCCCGTGGCATGAAAAGATGTTTGATTTGGGGTCCTGGCCGTTGTTTGATTTGACGTGACAGTTGGCTTGGTTGTGAATGGGCCGTGGCAAAGCCTCCATTGCATGAGGTGCTACCATGTGGAAAGGCCTGATGGGATCTTTGCTGAATGCTGCTGTGTGTGTGTGTGTACGCGCGAGGCTTCGGAGGAGGGGGGGGGGGGGGGGGTCCAGGGGCAATCAAGCAGAAGCAGAAGTCCCCCCCCCCCCCCCCCCCAGTGACGAGATCCACGAGTGAGAGAAGGAGAACAATCTAAGCCTTTAGGTTCTTTGCCCGGACTCATGGTGAGGAGTAATTGGTCAATCAGATCTTCAACCTCGAGGCCTCTGATGGCTGATTGAAGGTGTGATTTCTTTTCTTGCCCATCAAAGCTAGAGGGCCGCTCCTGCTGGGAGAGGCCGCTAAGGATTGTTCCCAAGGTCTCAAGGCTTTGGGAGCCACAAGGCTAGCAGTGAAGTCCAATTGTAGAAAAAAAAAAACCTATTCCACAGGGCGCTCTGCTGTCTCAACACAAACATCACCCTCAAGTTTGGATATATACACACACACACACACACACACACACACACGCACACAGCTGGACAGGCTACAGATTTGTGCAGGGGCCGAAGTGAAATCCCTAAAAGCTTGTGTGGCAACCTCGCCTCGCAATGTCAATCTCCTCGAGCCCTGCAGTTGTTTCCTGCCTGCTGCATTGCAGGTGCTCAGTGTGACATTTGAGCTCGGGGCTCGGCTCAGAAAGAGGGAAGAACGAGGGCCCTGACGGAGAGTGACAGCCGGAGGTGTAACCTCCTCGGACGGAGAAGTAGTTCCTGGTTCGCTCTCCGCCGACGGCCTCCATCTGTTATGGTGAATAATAGATGGGTTGACGTTTGCGCCTGTTCAGGTGCCTTTATACATTAAGGTGTAACAGGTAGAAGTCGGGCGTGTTTTTCGGTGCCGTCTCCTCTCGCTTCCCTTTCTGTGTCAGATAGTGTTGGGGTGTTGGGGTTGGGGGGGGGGTGTTTTGTGTGGGGGGTGGGTGGGAGTGAATGGGAACTGAAGTCTGGGACAGATTGTGTTTATACCCTAAGCAGTGCCCTGGGAGACGCATGTCATGGTGCAAATGCTTTTGTTGCTGGCTCTGTGTGTGGCACAGTTATATCACTAACACTTCACACTGGGGACCCAGAGCAGGGACCGTCGGAGCTTCTGCTGCCTGAAAATGGCACGGAAGATGGGAGGGTTCCTAAAAACCACCTTAGGGCCTTTGCTCCCTCTTTTTTCTTTTTTTCTTTTTTTTTTCTGCGTCCCGTGGTAGAGTCTGAAATAGACAGAGGGAGAGAGAGAGAGAGGGTGGAGAAGGAGAGAAGAAGGCAGGGAGAGGAAAGAGGAGGAGGAGGAGGAGGGTGGGTTTGTCTTAGCTTTCATGCACTAGGCAAGCAGATTTAGACTCCAAGTGTCAAATAGAAAAACAGCCATTGTGGTCGGGTCCTATTTGCCCCCCCACCAGTAGACTTTACAGTCAATAGAGCTAGTCCACTTGTCACTGGGGGACAATGCAGCCCTTTGCCTCCCTTTCAGTGCTGCCAGGTCCGAGCAGCCAGACAGTTTTCTGAATAAGACCCAGTGACTCTTGCCCCCTTTTCTCTGCCTCTCTTTCTCTTGACGGGACACACCAACAGGGTTTGGAAAATGGCTTCGCTGTTGGGCCGGAGCAGAAGGCCAGACCCCGTTATTTTCTACGACGCTGGCATTCCCTCCTCTGCCCCCCCCCCCCCCCCCCTCCCCCGTACGCTCACACAGAAATGAATGTATCGCAGGCAGTTTTGCAGAAGTCAATGGGGCCTCCGCAGACAAAGGAGATTAAGTTTGGCAACTTAGCGGTAACAGGTGTACTTTGACTGTGCTCGGACCACACGGGGGGCGACTGCTGTCGCCTGACCCCGTCGCTCTGTTTGCCTCCCTGTTGGTTTCGAGTTGCCGGGAGATGAAGATGAAATTCGCTTTTTTTTTGTGTGTGTTTTCAGACGACAAGGAAGCTTCAGACCTTGTCGACTTGGAAGCTTTAGTGGAGAGCGTGTTTGTGCCCGGCTGTCCATCTCCCGCCTTTTATCATTTCTTAGGACTTTTGAAAACGCAGCTCAGTTTTTTGTTTTTTTTGCCACATTTCTCCAGTGATGTGCAGAAGTTTTCTCCAAAGGGATTCTGCAGATATCTTTAGATCTGGAGCTGTGCTCACCCAGGGGAGCGAGTTAAGGGTAAACAATGCGGGCACACAGAGGAAGAGAGGAATATCAGAGGGAGCTCGGTGCGGCACTGAAGCATGAATACATTTTCACATTTAGAACGGAGACAGTGATGTTTTTAAGAGGGGAGGGGGAGGGAGGGGGGGGGTGGAAATATCTTTCAAAGTGAATGAGTGAAGCCTTTTCTACCAATACCTTCAGTATTTTCAACCACAGTAAATCGAGCCATTCAGCAGGAGTACAAACAGAGCCACGCTGAGAGCCGGAGCAAAACAGTGCATGCGTTTGTTTGTTTCAGTCGTTAATAAAGCTTTTACTGAGAGCCCCCCGGTCCTCAGGAAAAAGCCCATTCTGGTGAAATGACTTGGCAAAGCATCCGATGGAGGGTCTGTTCAGACTGAAGCTGCTCCCGCTGCCATTGTCTAGCTCTCTCACACACACCTACGAGTCCAGAGTGAGCACACAATTTCATTGTTGCGTGAGCTGTTAATATCAGAGGCTTCACAATAGAGCCCATTCGCCATATTTGCATAAGGCACTTTTCCAACAAGGACCCGGAGAGGGCTTGAAAGCTGGCCCACTCCAGTGCCAATGGCAAAAAAATGTCAAGTGCCAATTAGGAGAGGTTTGCCACCATTCAGCGGTACCCCACCCCTGTAGTCCTTCCCCTCCCTGCTTACCCACCCCAACTCTCTCACACTCCAAGTCACCCCTGTTTTTTACCACCTTATTCCAATTTCAGACGTAGCCTTCCCCTACTGACACCCGCAGACAAAAGCCGGGCTCCCTCCTCCGCTGGCTAATGGAGGATCCTTTCTGCCGGACTCAGAGTATTAACCAAACGAGACAGTGGGCTCTGTTCGCCGATTAGTCAGCTTTCTTTGTTGATTTCTTTGAATAGAGCAGGTCCAGGAGCTACGTGGCTGAACCTGCGAGATACAGACTCCACCTGCTTGTGAATATTGAACTCAGTCAGCTGGCCACATTGTGCTACGTTGCCTTTTTAGACTGGCAGGTTTCCGTGTGCAGGTGTAAGTCGTTGAGGGAAGGCAGACGCTGATTTTCCAGAGAATTAAAAAAATAACCTCTTTCATCTGACGTCCACAGTGCTTGGCTAATAGCATTTAGCCACCTAATGACTTGCTTTAAGCTAGTCCTGCTCGCACACGCACCAAATAACAGAGCAGAGCTGCAGTCAGTCACAGAGCTTTGAGTCAGCTGTTGAGGCTGAAAAAGAAATGCACAATAATGCTACAGTGGGATTTAACTGGAGCTACGTCAAATCCAGGTTAGCTTAACCGGTGAGTGTCAACAGTGCTGAGCAGCTGTTTACCGTTTCTGCTCATGCTGAAAATGCAGCATTATTTCCACCAACGCTTAGCTGCAGCTGTCAGGGACGTAGATCCTCCTCTTCGTCATCATCCTCCTCATCCTCATCATCATCATCATCATCATCATCAGTGTCCTTGGATTGAAGTATCTTTGTGTTTACATTGGTGGTGGGAAATAAATAAAGAACAGTGTATCCTGTAAAATGACGAGGACGCAGGAAATGAAATATAAAAAGGAGAGAAAGTCACAGACACAATAAAAGAATCGTGTTTGTCCAATTGGGCTGCCGTTGTTTTCCACAGAGCGTTTACCTAACTTACCGCCTCCTGCCACTCAAAAGGATTTTTCTCTTGTCCCTTTTTCTCTTTCATTCTTTCATTCAATCTCTGTGTCGAGTTTTTTTTTTTTTTTTTTTTTCTTTCCCACCCTTGATTCTCAGATGGTTGGATCTGATTTGCATATATTTGCATAATGAAAGTCATTTGCATGCTCAGGGGCAGACTGTACCATGAGAACAGACATGAAAAGGTGTGTGTGTGTGTGTGTGTGTGTGTGTGTGTGTGTGTGTGTGTGTGTGTGTGCATGTGCATGCATGCATGTGTGTATACATGCATGCATTCGTGTGTGTGTGTGTGTGTGTGTGTGTGTGTGTGCGCGTGGCGTGCTGTTCGTGAACTGTACACGTGTGTTTTGATGGATAAACCTCGTTCTTAAATCTTCACCCTCTCACCCTCTGGTTTCCTCTGTGCAGGCGACCGACCACCACAACACCACAGAAGGAGAGCTGGCAAAAGGAGACTGAAAAACAGGAATAGAAGGAGGAGGAGGGGTTGCTGTTGATTCTGCCCTCCCTCTCTCCTCGCCCTCCTCTGCATCGCCTCTTCCCTCCTCCTCCTCCTCCGCTCCATCCTCAGCAGACTGCCCCCTTTTTCCTGTACAGCGAGACGCAGCCGGCGCCACCATCTTAGAGCAAACGCTGGCATGAAATGGAAGTGGGAAGACCAGTCAGTGCAGGTAACACACCGCAACCCGCTGCGCCCACCACGCTGCATCTTCCCACCGGCGCCACCGCCACCACCAACCCCTCCATCTTCTCCTCCATCCACCAACCCCCCCACCCTCCTCTCGTGCCCTCCTCACTTACTCCTCTTCTCCTCTGACGGGCTCCGTTTTTTTTTTTTTTTTTTTTTTTAATCATGTGTTTGTTAATTGCACGATTCACGAGATGCGCCGATGGGTGGAGGGGAGGGTGAGTTGATGGAGGCGGGGCATGTTTTGTATGTGTGTTCACATTAAATCACTCTCGCTCTCAACGCCTCTCTCAGGAGGCTTTCAGTGGGCATCTGTCCTCCGAAGCGCAATGTTTTCTTTCCCGTTGGGGAATTCTCGTGCCATCCTCACACACGTGCCCCGACATGGCGGCGGCAGCAGCAGCGGCGGCTGCCATTTTGGAGATACGCTGCAAACCAGCTACGCCTACTGGACAAATAAAATAACTCCATGTAGCTGAGCTCTCCCATATTCTGACATAAAATAATGTTTTTAAAATAATGTTTGATATCTGAAAGTTTCTCTTCAACTCCTTAAATGAGGTCAGGAGAAATGTCAAGGCGGGAACGACCGTCGAGTGGGAAGTGATGGTATCCATGAACCGCCATTCACATTCTCATACAGGGACACTGCAGTGTGTAACAAAACACACACACACACACACACACACACACACAAAAGCAGCAGAGAGACGAGAGAGAGAGAGAGAGTGAAATAATAGAGAAGAGGTGGTGAAGAAGTGAGGAAAGTGGGACCTCGCCGGGGCAGAGTCTCGGTGCTGGAAAGCCTCTCTTTGTGCGAGTGGCGAGTGTTGGAGGGCAGTCGGCGCTCAGACAAGTCGAGTATTGTTCTCCCCTGAGCGAGCTGGTTGTGGTGCGGCAGCATTATTCCGACCCGGGAGCTCCCAACTTTGAAAAACCGCTTAACCCAAAACACCAATTAGCGTCAACTGGGCTTGATTAAGTAAGGCGGCCGGTAAACAATGCACGCCATTGTCCCGCCGCAACAGAGAACTCCCTTTGTTTGTGTCTGCGGTGTGGAGGTCAGGGGAGAGACAATGCTAATGCTAACTTTACAGTAGGGTGCCAGTCTGCAGTGCTAACAGAGAGGCTGCTAACACCCCCTGGCGGGTCAAGGTGAGGGAAAAGATAGCGATCGAAAAAGTGTTTAATTTCACTTTCAATCATCAAACTTTCAATCACTGATTTCCAGGTGTTACTCAGACTAAACCTGACGTGACGCCGCGTCTCAAACGAGGTCACGCCGAGCTTTCTGGCTTTAAATTCTGGAGGATGCAGCCTTTTAAAAACAAAACAAAACAAAAAAAAAAAAAAAAACGGAGGCGTCGCTTGGCTTTCCTGAGAAGTTGTGCGGTAACTGTGTCAAACCCGAGGCGCACTAATCACAGCCAGGCCTCCATAAACAGGTGGTAGATTGAGCGAAGGGGGCTGGGGCCGTTCTCAATTTACTGTGTAAATTATGCAGAGCCCAAAACAATGCAAACAGTAGACAGTGGAGTGGCTGGCGTTGGCTAATGAGATGATGAGAAGCCTGGGAGGGCTGGGAGCTAGTCGAGGTGAGGGGGTGGGCACGGCCGGCAGCTTGTGTCTGGATCTGTGTATTCGTGTGTGTGTGTGTGTGTGTGTGTGTGTGTATGTGTGTATGTGTGTGTGAGGGTCTAGAGGAGCTTTGGCAGGGGAGCAGACACTGTCCCGTCTGCACCATCAGCACCCCTCCTGCCCAGACTGAGTGCTACAGAGGGAGGGGAGGGTTAGCAGGCAGCTGGGGCACCCTGCCCCCATTGCTCCGGCATGAGCACCAGCCTTGGGAACCTCTGTGGCAGGGGTCCCCCCCCCCC